AAACCCTCAGAAGTATATGTCAGCCCACAGTGTACATTCTGTGACGGGGAAGTCGAAAGCTATGAACATTTGTTTTATGAATGTCAATATGTTATATCTCTCTGGAGTGAAATCCTCTTTTGGTGGGGGGAACCACTTAAATTAAAGTCACCACCAAGTAGATTGTGTATGATTATATCTAACCCAGATGATACTTTGATTGTAAACTTTTTATCTCTGTTGGTAAGAAAACATGTATACTTTTGTAAAATGAAGGAAATGAAGCCACATTTCGTTGGCTTCCTATCTTACTGTAAAAGAATTTACCAATATGTAAGATAAAAAGAGGTACTACTATATATGTATAATAGAATACAGGAAAGAACAACAATGTAATTTCATAACAATGTAATGTATCAATGAAGCGCCTAATAAAAAGTATATAAAAAAAACAAAACAAAAAAAACAAAAAAACAAAAAGTACTGTCTAGACATAATACATACTGACACAATCTAGCCGATGAATTATTATAAACATGGCTGACGTTGATTACTTTAAACGTAAGAAACTACAATAATCGTCACCGATGTTGATAAACAATCGCCAATGCAATCCGTTCGACGACAGATCACCAAACAAACAAAAATGTTGCACGCTGCCCACATTGAACTGCCGTGCTGAATCGATTTCCGCTGTATAAGGAGGGAGCGGTTTACAAACACGAAGTTTAGAAAATTCCTAAATATGCGAATTATGTACAATTTCAAAATATCACAATAAAGAACTTGAAGACACAGACTCGGTATTTAAGTTTTATTGAACAAAATAAACTAATGATCATTATAGGTTGTAATATTCACACACATTAGTTCAGTCTCAATCAATGTATACAAATATAAAACACAGCTGAACATCATAACGGCAAGTCTTATAAAAACAAACAGTAACAAACGATCACCCTATTTGTAATACCAACCTTATTTGTAATAACGATCAATCCCACTTGTACTAACGATCAACCGTATTTGTAATAACAAGCAAGCTTATTTGTGATAACAACCAATTCTATCTGTAATAACGATCCTACGGAATCACTGGAAAAGTATCACTTTTGCAGCCTTACATGTAATTATTCCATCTTCCTTCTTGTTTAATTTCCTGCGTCAAGAGTTAAATGAATTAACAGTTGCTGGAACAACTCTTTGTGACTCGATGTAAGTAAACGATAATAGGCAAGAACGTAGTCCCCCCCCCCAAATACAATTACAATTATGATCGTAGATTAGTACATATAAACACAAATAATAATAATTTGAATAATTACCATCGTTTAAATTGATTAGCTGGTACTGAGCGGAGAGGCTGAGCATCCACCAGTCAAAAAAGTTGATATAAATAGTCAAGATTTTATTCGGCGATTCGGCAATGATGTAATGAAGGTTACGTTAAAGTAGCTGATGTCAAATATTTATTACAACATTTACAAACAATAATGTAACGATAGTGTTGTGTGGTAGCCTTGAAAGCGTCTGTTTGTTTTGTACGAGTGTTTGTTCAGTTAGTACAGTGTGGGGATTGAACAGAGTTGATCGATACCGTAATTTTTTCATCACAGCCTAACACTGTGAAACACAAGTATTGCACTCGTCAATCACCCGTCGACTTTTATTTATACGTTTGTTTCTATACTGACATAGGTCGAACAGACGTACGATATGAGGCTGTCCATATTGCTGACAAAATTAGTGTCACACCTACAAACACACGTGTGGCAAATACACTCAAATACACCAGCAAGATTACTTGAAAATATAACAGACTGAATTTTATAGCTATTATTTTTCTTGACCACCTATGCAGTTACCTGAACGAACAGTTCACAGGCACACAAAGTAATAAGTCTAACGTATATTATTTGATTTAAGGATATGCAGAGTAGAAAATGTCCAATCACTGCATCTGTTTCAATTTGATGGTACTTTCCTAGTTTGATTCATT